TAATTTTATATTAATTTGATTCAATTTTTTATTAGATTAGATCAGTCTCAGTCTGATAAATCCAATTGCATCGAATATGAATGAACCCCCAAACTGCTGTAACTGAATAAGTACTTTAAAATTTCATATTTGCCTTTTTTTTTTTTAAATCTTTTGCAAATAGCTCTTACTTGTAAGGGTATATTTGGTTTTTAAATATCTTTAGCATAAAAGCCCTAATTTCTTCCCTGTTTAGATCGTTGCAGAACACCGAAATGTCCTCCTTTTTGGCTGGCACAACGATCTCTTCTTCTCTTCCTTCGCCACAATTCTCTCCTTCTAATCTCCTTCTCCGATTGTCCCTCTTGATTCCCCTTTTCAAATTCCCCCTTAGTCGTAAATTTGAGAGTAGAGCACCGAGCAGGCTTCTTCTAATCTTTTTATTCTGATTCTTCCCAATTGAAACCCGAGAAGAGTACTGATTTTGAGAGGTAAGCATCGTACTCTCTTTTCCCTCTAATTGGCATCTAATTTTTGTTGTAAGTTCCTTAATTTTGTAACACCAAAGAAAATCTGTGTAACAGTGAGTGTGATGAGACTGTTTTAATTTTTACTACATCAGAATTTTGTAATTTTTATTATTTTATTTTGTAATTTTTATTTTTTTAGTAGGGTTTCTTTTCTCTCTAATTTAGGGACGAAAAAAAAATTAATGTCATTACTTGAAGTATGCTGCTTGAATCTTGGAAAGCATTCTCTAATTGCTCTGTCTTCTTATCAATAATGAGCAGGATCAGAATGTTGAGTGACAAAATTTAAAAAAACAAAATTTAATTGATTAAAACCTTCAATTGTTGATAATCATATGAGTTCTTAAAGCTGTAGGCCTTGTGAGTTGCTAATTAAAATCAGCAGTTGCGCTCTTATTAGGTCAATTATTCTATTAATTAAATTCATATAATTATATATTTAAATACCACCATACTGTTCAATAGCGGCTGCTTCGCTATCTGTTACACTATCAGAGTGGATTTTTGCCTTCCTGCTATTGGCTGCTATCCGCTATTGATAACCCTGTTTTTCCAATATGTGGTAATTGTATTTTATATCGCCTTAGGTGATTTATCCCACTTCATTGGGCTTTCATGGATAGGATCGGGCTTTGACTTAGTTGTACAATTTAAACTGCAAACCAATTGAACCCAAAACAACTTCATCCTATCATCTCGTGGAATGGATAGACTCAAGGAGCTCCCCTAATTCTAATTCTAATTGCAATTCTAATTCCAATTCTAGTTCTAATTCTAACTAATTTTTTCAAAGAAAACAACACGAAGCCAAGGTTGGTAGGTGGCCTCCTCTTCGCCAACGCTAATTCATAGTCAATCTTCTTGTTGAATTCTATAATTAAGGTATTTCATCTACTTTTTTCTTATTAATTATTCAGATATTTTATTCTTTAGATACAATGAGTTTGTTTGTTTGTTTAGTGATTGCAATGGTTTGAATCTTCAATTCAAAGTTAATTAATTACTTAAGATCATGACTAAATACTCAGATCAATACACATGCATGATTATTTTTTTTATATCTGAACTTTGGATATTGTGCCTAC